GCCCCCCCTAGCTCTAGCACAAATTTCGGCCCTGGCCCCAAAAACCTCGCCTGAGATCAACCCGGTGATCTGGTTGCGAGATAGGCACTTGAGGCTCCCAAGGAAATACAGAAACGGGGACCCGGCGGACAAATACTGGTTGCGCCTCATACGCACATGGAGGAAGCTCCCGCCACCGGATCGTCTGGCTCCAGATAGATGGGAATAAATCTTCAGCCAACCACTGTTCGGAAATCGTTTGAAAACGGATCCCTTGGGCCGCGTAAAATGCAGCTCTGATTCCCCCTGGAAGGGCTGGGTGAAACACGGCGTCAGCAGAGTAGGGGGCGTTTGGGACAAAGAGGCGAAGGGCTGGAAGAGTGTAGGAAGGATGCGGTCCTGGTTGCGATATTGCCATTTCACTGAACTAGCGCTTAATGAACTTATTGAGAGCTTTCCTCTCCAATGGTACAGTACCCTTCGAAAAGGCCCTCACTTGAAGGAAGGGGACTGGGTAGGGCTACCTGGCCACGATAAGGAAGTAGGGCGGGTGCACATTACTAACCAAGTACGAGTCCTGATGGGGAGGTCTTCTCCTTCCAAAGGGATGCATTGGGGAGCTACAAGGAAACCGACAGCCTTTCATATGGAAAGACAGCATGAACCTATTTCGTATTAGAGTTCTAGATGATGGTAGATGCTAGAGAGCATACCGACCAAAAACCCCGATAGAGGATCTTCCCTTTGACCCGGATGAGTGGCACTGGTCCTAGGAAGGTCGAACTAGGCAGGGGACAGCAAATCCAATAATGTTACATAGGTTGAAAACCAAATCAATTTACCGAATGCTCCGTCCTAAGCGAAGAATGCGGGAACTAGTAAAGGACAGATGGTATCGGCATCTCAATGTGGACCGCGGCCTGCTCAAACCCATCTGATGGTTCAGGCACTATAGCGACAGACCTGCAAAGACTGCTGCCCTCCAGTGGCAAATCGCACACCGATGCTTGCCAACTAATGATTAGCTAATAGAGCATACCCGCTTGAAACAACAAGGACGGGCAGTACCATGGCGCCACAGTTGCCTTCGCAGCTACCCGGGGAGGAAACGTGCGGAGACAATTGAACACATCTTCCTCCAATGCCCAGCATCGATGCTATTATGAAGGAGTTGGGACAGGATCTGGCGTCATATTGTCCCTAATATAGAATGGCCATGGGAATGGAGGGCCATATTACTGGGCCACTACCCCCCGGTCCGGGCAACCACATTTGAAGAGAACATGTTCCAGTTGGGCAGGCGGACCGTTCTTTGGACTATTTGGTGGAAGAGATGCATTTTGGAAATAGAAGGGGCTCGGGTGGAGGAAGGAGAAGTCATGGAACAACTACGTCTGCTCTTCCAACATGAAATTGCAGCTCAATGGAGGACAGCCAGGAATAAGCTTGACCAACTGCACGCCCAAGGAGAAATCACTCGGACCATCTCCCGATTTGGTCAAAACTGGCTGGGAGGGGAGAGAGAAGGGTGGGTGGCTGAGATAAGATGGTCAGGGGATTGCCAGCTGGAAGAACAACCGCCTGAAGGACACCAGGTAGGGATTGCAAGAGACTATCAGCTGATCTTCCACGACTGGACCAATCTAGACCCCGGTGAGAGGCTACGCCCTGCTCAAGAGTTTGCAGACCCCTTCCCCCCTCACCCCTTGGCCTTAGAAGAAATTTTCCCCCCTCCAGGAGGAGATCCATAGAGGAGATAGAGGGCGCTGGACCTGGTTTTCAGCAGATTTGGATTGGACACAGATCAGCTAAGGGACGCTGGACCCGGTTTCCAGCAATTTAGGGACTGAACACATTGATCAGATATGGGACGCTGGACCCTGTTTCCAGCATTGTATTGTTACTCTCATTGAGGACGGTGCGGCACAATTCTGTCTAGACTTGCATTACCTGTTTTCAGCAGAAAAACAGTTACAATAGGCGCATTATGCCAGCCGACGTCTGTGCAGCACATGTCTGTCCATTTCTGCATTGTCTGTTATCTTAGCCTTCAATTGCTATTACAGAGTGCAAAACACACTAGGCGCCATGAGGATAGTAGGTGGATGGCAGAGGCTAGGGGAGGAGGGGAGACTCCACTGGTGCCCCCCGGGGTTTCTCCCCTCAATACCCGACCCTGCTGCAGTTTTGGTAGGGGAGAGCAGATTGGACATGGGACGCTGGACCCGGTTTCCAGCACAATGGCGTCACTTTCTAAAGATGTACTGCTTGGCAAGATGTATTTAAGGGACGCTCGACCCGGTTTCCAGCAGGTGTTGCTCCCCACCAATAGATGGAGCAGCCCACCAGACAAAGCCTCAATCCCGGTGGTTCTCTTACCACCACCAGGATAGAGGCCTTGCGTTAGGGCCTCGCCGCACCACTCTCGAAATGTTAAACAGAAAAAAACTTGGCGGGTGCATCTGGCCATGTAGCGTGATCATGTGCATTCTCATTTTGCACATTTCGAGAGAGGTGTGGCGGGTGCATCTGGCCATGTTGTAACGGGATGTTCATTCTCATTTTGCACATTTCGAGAGAGGCATGGCCATGCCCTTGTGCATGTAATCCTTGCCAAGGAGCCAATGCATGCCGAGGTTCTCCGTACTATCACGGCTGCCGTTCATTCTCCGTACTTTCTATGAAAATTTGGACACATGGCTTTTGTTTTCACAAAACAATTCGCCTCGAGGATTCTTGCTAATCCGCTCCTGCCACATGGCTGCATTGGCCGGTTTGCGACATAACCCCAACGCTTGTGTATACTCACATTGTCTGGCACGCCCCCCAAGAGGATCCACCACTTATCCGATGGAAAAACAGTATCTGTGATCTCCTCCCATGTTTGTCAACTGCATCTAGGACACGACGAGTCGACGACACGTCAAGTGACGTCATATCCACTTCCACTCCATGTTCTACCAATCAGAATGATTCTTGGGTGCCATTTTGCGTCCTTTAAATAAGGCGTTAGTTGCAGAAATAGCGTGCGTGTTTCGAGACTCGGTGGAGAAGTTGTCGGGGTCCGAGAGTTGTAATTCTGCAACAAAAGTGGGTACCCCGCCCGCAAATAATTTTGCTGTGAGACAACGAAAGATGTGTTTTTGAAACGAAACTTGGGTCCCACCACTATTTTTGCTGCGAAACTGTCGCAAAGGTGAACGGGAACACGCTATTTTTTAAACTCACCCTTTAAATAAAATAGGACTGCTCGGTATACTTGTCATTGTGAAAGAGATCCGTCCATCTGAGATTTGGCATTCTACGCGCCCCAAGGACTCGTCCGTCCATCCCCCCTGACCTGATTCTCGGCATGCATTGGCCTCATGAATTGTGGTGAATAGGTTAAAAGTTACAAGTCCTTTGGATTAACTTCGGACGAGAATGGTTTAAATTGGCAATTAAGGAAAAGTAAGACCCCTCAGGAATTTTGCCAATATGTCCTTAGGGACTTCAGCAACGTGTCCTTAGGGATAAGTTTTTTGTTGTTTTGTTTCTTTCTTTTTCTGCCACTTGTGGCTGGAGGGAGTTTCCTATTGCAAACATGATAACTTCTAAACGATTTTTATTTGAAACAGAAAAAAACTCTAAAGGCAATTCTCGGTCTCTTTGTCGACAGAATGGCACACACATATGCCTGTTAATAAGAGCAGATCATGAGTTCAGCAGATCATGAGTTCAAGTCCTGATTAGTTCAAGTCCTGATGAGTTCACCAAGATTAGGGGCTACGCCTTTTGCAAAAAACTGAAAAAAACGCCCTCC